TACATAAATAATCAAATATGCCCGTGTGTTTTTATAAAAAGATCACAAGATGGAGTTGTGATAATTGCTGTCTATGTCGATGATCTTAATATTATTGGGACTACAAATGAAATCCAAGAAGCAGTCACTTTACTAAAAGGCGAATTTGAAATGAAAGACCTCGGACAGACCAAATATTGTCTCGGCTTGCAAATAGAACGAGTCCAAAATGGGATATTTGTCCATCAATCTAATTACACTAAACGAATATTGAAATGATTCAATATGGACAAGGCTAATCCACTTAGTACCCCAAAGGTCAATCGAACATTAGATGTTGAAAAGGATCCATTTCGACCTTGTGATGAAGATGAAGAAATACTTAGTCCTGAAATACCATATATGAGTGCAATTGGAGCTCTTATGTATCTTGCAATTGGACCAGACCAGATATATCTTTTGCTACCAACTTGTTGGCGAGATATAACTCAGCACCTACAAGGAGACATTGAAATGGAGTTAAGCATATATTCAGTTATCTCAAAGGGACAATCGATTTGGGACTGTTTTACTCTAATGATAAAAAACATGAATAATCGGTTTTGCAGATGCATATTATCTATCAGATCCCCATAAAGCAAGATCCCAAACCGGCTATGTTTTCACGATTGGCGGAACTGCATTTTCTTGGCGCTCCCAGAAACAAACATTAGTTGCGACATCTTCAAACCATGCTGAGATCCTTGCACTTCATGAAGCAACTAGGGAAAGTATCTGGCTCAGAAACATGACTCAACATATTCAACAAGCCAGTGGACTATCGAACAATAATGATCGGACGGTGATATTCGAAGACAATGCAGCATGTGTCGCTCAAACCAAAAAAGGATACATCAAGAGTGACAGAACTAAACATATCCCGCCAAAATTCTTCTCATATGCGCAAGAGCTTGAAAGAAACAAACAAATCAAAGTTCAATACATTCGATCAAGCGATAATGCAGCTGATTTATTTACGAAGGCGCTCCCGATGACAATGTTTCGAAAGCACATACACAACATTGGAATGACACATCTTCGGGATTTGTACAAATGATAATTTGAGGGGGAGTATGTGCGGCTGTACTCTTTTTTCCTTATCTCGGTTTTTTCCTACAGGGTTTTTCCAGATAAGGTTTTTAACGAGGCAACATAAACGCACATTTAATAGTGGTAATTCTAAGGGAGAGTGTTATAATATGTGGAATTTACCACTAAAAATAATAATAATAATAATAATAATAATAATAATAATAATAATAATAATAATATTATCTTTTATATTATTATATTGTAATGTGCATTGAAGTGTGTGCTAGTGTATAATTGAAGGCTTAAACTTTGTCTATAAAAAGAAGCCAATGGGCATTGTAAATTTTACACGGAAAAGTGACGAAGAGAAAAAGAGAAATAGCATCTTTTGATTTATATCCGGTTTTTACATTGCGTTCTTTATTCTCCGTATTTTATAACAGTTGGAAGTAATTTTGAGAGGGCAAAACTCCGTTGGAATTAGTTGAAATAACATTCTCTTTTTTTTAACCAAGTTGAAATAACCTTCTCAAAACCGAAAATTGTTGGAAAAGTTTCACTTTTATCCACTTAAACTATATTCCCTCCTTTTTAAAATGTTTGTCGTTTTGACTTTTTTGATTCATCCATTTTGCTATGTATCCATACATAGCAAAATTGATGAATCAAAAAAGTCAAAACGACAAACATTTTAAAACGGAGGGAGTATTTTCTAATGGATCAATTTTAACACCAAATGTATACTTTATTATGAATTTACTAGTGTGCAATGCACAGACTAGTTTTATTAAGGTAAACATTGAGATTTAGATGATTGGATGATCGTAAAACGCATGTATTGGAATAAAGAAAATATAACTTACTGTTGTAAATTAGAACTCTTAATTTTTAACAAGCATTCATCAATCAAAGCATAAAAGATGTGCAATAAAGGGAACGCTAAAAGAGAAGCAGAAAAGTATGTTCTTATTCATCAGTATATCACCCTTTTATAGGGTTTACAAGAGAGAAACTCTAAAACTTAATTTTCTAACTAATGGACTTCAGGCCCAATTATATATTAGTAATGTCCATAATAATATATGTATAACACTTATATATTATTAAACACATCCTTGTACACAACCTTATTTGTTTGATCTTTTGATACATCGTCTATCACCACAAATTATATTAGAATTCGAGATAGGCTTAAATAAATCAATTATTATTTAGAAGGATATATATTATATTTGTAAGTGTATGCAATTATTATTTATATTTATATTGTAAGTATATGAGTTTATATTCAAATTTGAATTATAGAAGATTAAACAAAACTTTAATTTTTAGGATGTTCCAGTCCAATTTCATTTTGAGTTGCAAATTAATATTAGCTGACTCTATTTTATGTTTAAAAATTTTCGAACTAAAGAAAGTAATTGCCAAATGATAGAGGATTTTTAGATTTTGATTTCAATTTGAATTTAGGCCCAATTTCTGTTCAATCTGTCTTTTTGTTTAATAAGCATTATCTGTTGTAAATAGGTAAACATACATGTTACAATTTTTGTATAATTTGAAGTTCTCGATTTTATGATAAACATATTTTATAATAAAAAATGAGAAAATTTTCACTTTTACAAATTTGGCATGCCGGATCTTACATAATTTAACTTATTTCTATGCAATCCGATTTTTTAATAAACAATTAATCTGTTGCAATTAGTAAAAGATATATGTGATATTATTTTACCTAATTCGAAATTTACGATTTTATGGTAATCAATTTTTTTTTAAAAAAATAACAAATGAGAAAGAATTTTGACTTTTGCAAAATTGTAAGCATCAGTCAAAATTTACCTAAATTAAATCCACAAAACTCATGAATTTAGGGTGAATATATAGCTGGTTGATTTTTTAGGTATAATTTTTTTAAAAAAAATTACCAAAATAGAATGAAATAAATGTTGGTTGACTTTTTTTATTACTATTTTTGGTAAATAGATTGTCTCTTTATATAAACTAGTGCATACCCCGTGCGATGCACGTGATACATATAATAAATCAATTATTTCTATAGGACTTGTACGTCTAGACAAAAAAACAATAGATTAGGATCATCCATATTTAACATCTTTTAAGAAGTGGCGTTTATTTAAGCCAAGAAATTAACATATTAATTAATATATAATTCCGCTAACACGTCATACTAATATTTATTTGATTTTAGAATACATATTTATTCATTGATATAAGAAAAAATAAAATTTTTATTTATTCTCGTTCACCATATAATACTCAATTATTATTTTATTATAAAATTTATAGTCATATAATGTTACTGTTATTATTTATAAAAGTTATAAGTAGTCTTCTTTATGTAATGAAATTCAAAATAAAATTTTGAGTATAAATGTTTACAAAATACACACATGTTTTTTAGAATTCACTTTTCTCGTAATAATTCTTTTTTGAAAAAAAAATGATTTAGCAATTGCCAAAAAATAAATCTCTTACATAATCGAGAGATTTTTTCTAATTTTCATCCTAAGGCTTTATGGTTTATTTAACATACTATGCAATAGAAAAATATTTTACAATAAGTTCATTTTTGAAACATAACAAAAAGAAAGTGATAAAAACACTATCATAGTTGACAATAATATACAAATAAATAACATGTCAAAATTTTAAACAATAACTAATATAATTTTATTATCTAACCATCAATAAAATCATTTAATGATGTGATCATTATCTTTTAAATGATAAATAATATTATTTTTTTTAAAAAAATATTAGTTTTATATAATTAAATAAAATTTTAAAAATATTACTCGACAAATATTAATTATAATGGATATGAGAAAATTATTGCATAAATTATTTAAGAAAAAAATCTTTAAGATCATATCTGGATAATAAATGTAAATATGCAAGCATTTAATGCATATAGTAAAAAAAATTCCAAATAAGGTTTGCATTAAATGTGTGTTGACTTTTCTTGCTACTATTTTTGGTAAATAGGTTGACTTTTAATATATATATATATATATATAGATATAGATATAGAATAATAAATATTGGTGTCAACATTTCAAAAATCTTTTACTTTTAGTAAAAAACTAATGTTTGTGTTGAGTTGGGTACACACACAACACGTGGACACTAACGTAATTACTTTATTATATTAACAAAGTAATTACACAAACACAATATAGACAAAAATAAATACCTCATTTATCAAGACCAAAACACACTATTTATTTTATTATAATACACTCTTTTACACTCAATATTATTTCTCTACCCACACAATTACTCACACAACACTCCACACTTTTATTTCTTATTTTTATCACTCCCAACCACTACAACTCATTCTTCTCTTTTTCTTATTTTCTTCACACTGCACGCACACACATATATATAGCTTATATAACATTAATTCTTTAACTACTAACAACTAACTACTATCTAACAACTAATTATTTCCTAACTTAATTATATATTAAATATATTAGATAATTTAAGAAACTTCTAGTTGGTGTTGATTAATTAACACTCCCCCTCAACACCAACATTGTCTCGCCGTAGTCTTCGGCCACCTTACATCAAGAAACGGATCTTCACATAATTTAGAGTTTGTGAATATTTTTCTTGTGTGCTTTAGGCTTGGTACTCGTACTCTCGCTGATCTATAGGCTTGTGGGCTCTTGACACTTGGTTGATCATCTACTCTTATCCAATGCTTGTTGGCTTGCCCGTGACTTTTTAGCTCGTCTTCAACTCTATCTTCCTTATTTAATCTTTTCTCACCAGTTTCGGAGATTGGCAACATCAAGTTGTCAACTGTCACCGTACTCTCTTCACTGTACTCGATCGGATTTGATAATTCCTTCATATCTTCTGTTTCATCACTTGAGCTTCCTGAGATATCTAGCCAATCATCATTTGAGTCAACAAGCTCAGTGATCGTTGCCGTTAGCCATATCTACTTTTTCACCAACTTCTTCTTGTTCAATTACGGCTGATAGTGCTTCAAGATCCCATTCATCGTCACTTTTGTGTGCCTCATCCGATGTGACTGCATTTCCTTCCCCTGGATTCTTCTTCGACCAACAATTCCTCGCTATGTGGCCTTTCTTTCCACAGTTATAACATTTCCCTTCAAATCTTCTACTTTCTCGAGGTTGGTCGCTCAAATTTTCTTTCTTTTGTGCTCCTCCTAAATGAGCACTCCTCTCGTCTTCATCCTCGTCGTTGTCGTCTCTTTTCCTCCAATGACAATTTTTATTGTGTCGACCTCTTATATTCTTTACAAAAAGTAATTCTTCATCATTCTTGGATGAGGCTTGGAACATTTGCTTAGCTAACGCTTCTTGGTCAGCTAGCAAATTTTTCAACTCTACAAGAGAAGGTTGGGTCGGCCAACCTTGCACAGCAGCAATAAAACCTCTATATTTTTGCCTCAATCCGTGAATGATTATTCTCCTTATCCGTGAATCTAACATACCAGCAGAAGAATCTAAATTAGAGATTTCACGACAAAGAGACTTTACCTTAGCAAAATACTGGTTTATCGTCATGTCTCGTTGCGTGATGGATAGAAGCTCGTTCTCCAGAAGTTGCAATCTCGCGTTGTTCCTCTTTGAGAACAACCCCGCGAATGTGTCCCATGCGTCCTTCGGTGTCTTCGCATCTCTAATATGCTCCAGCATCTCCTCCTCGATCGTGGTCTTGATAGCAAACATGGCCTTACCAGCTTTAACCTTCCATTTCTTCAAAGCTGTTGAATCCTCCGGTGGTGTAGCCTCACTACCACTCACAATCTCCCACAAATCTTGGCCTTGCAAATACGACTCCATGTACGTCGACCACGTGTTGTAATTCTGACTATTAAGCTTCTTGATACCTCCGACCACTTGAAGGTCTGCCATCGTGGCTCTACTCGATCAACTCGCCACACACTTTGCAGTACTAAACTGCACACAAACTTTGCAGTACAAAACTGCAAAACTACGACCAAGAAGCTCGACAAAACAATTCGTACCTCAACTAACGCCAGACTTAACTCGCCTGGCTCTGATACCACTTGTTGAGTTGGGTACACACACAACACGTGGACACTAACGTAATTACTTTATTATATTAACAAAGTAATTACACAAACACAATATAGACCAAAATAAATACCTCACTTATCAAGACCAAAACACACTATTTATTTTATTATAATACACTCTTTTACACTCAATATTATTTCTCTACCCACACAATTACTCACACAACACTCCACACTTTTATTTCTTATTTTTATCACTCCCAACCACTACAACTCATTCTTCTCTTTTTCTTATTTTCTTCACACTGCACGCACACACATATATATAGCTTATATAACATTAATTCTTTAACTACTAACAACTAACTACTATCTAACAACTAATTATTTCCTAACTTAATTATATATTAAATATATTAGATAATTTAAGAAACTTCTAGTTGGTGTTGATTAATTAACAGTTTGATCCTTGGTTCTTTTAATAGCGAATTTCAATAAATTATATATCATTTCTGGCCACTCGACTTATTTAAAAATACCTTCAACTCGTAGTCGGTGTCTTGAAGTTTGTCAAAATCGTCATTATTTTTTTCAAATATTTTCAACCAAATCGTGCATGAATCAATGATTCAGTTGTTGGACTTTTATAAATATATATATATATATATATATATGTATGTATGTATCGAGAACTGGTTTGCTGAATAATCCAACAGTGTCTCCATCGCCAATTGGAGCTCTCAATAACCTACCGGTATATCAGCGAAAGTTCCAATTTTCTCGGTTGCAACGACTCAATGGAAAAGTGAATTTTTTTGCCACCAAGATCACAATAGGTTTTATTTTTTTTAAAAAAAAAAATCACTATTTTAGGTTTTTTAGTGCAATAATAATTACACTATCAACTTTATCAATGCCAAAACAATATTTTTTAATGATATGTAATAAATTTTTATTTTCTAGGTAAAGTAAGAGAATTTTTTTCAAGACTGCGAAATTTCTTCATCAAGGAGACAATATTTAGAGCTGGGACTTGCATCCTTCATAGCTGGACTGCCCTCTGCAGGATCTTTTTCTCTGCCAGCAAAAACATTATATCATCCTAATGACTCGGTTGCTAAATGCTCGATTATTATTGTTTACAAGTCCGAAAAATTTTGATGTCTTCAAGAAAAAATACGATGTTTTTTTACAACGATAACAAAACTTACATGTTCGAATATATTAAATTCCCAACGACGACAAGGATAAATGCCACGTAGTATAACCAATCTACCTGTAAAACTCAAATCGATATTTTTCGGTATGGATTTTAGAAAATGAATGGCTTTTCTCAGGTGGTATCAACTTAATTCTAACAAGCTAAAATCTGCAGAAAATAGAAAACATTAAAGATACCGTTTGCTCGTAGAAGAATGTTCGAATCACAACAGCCCACATATCTGATGTAAGAAGAGAAAGATTGAACAGTGTGGATCCACTCATCTTTATCATAAGTTATTACAAATATTTCATAGAAATATCGAAAGACATTATCATTTCAAACTAAATGATTTAGAAACTAGCCTTGAGAACAAATGGGAGAATTAAATGGAACAGAAAGCTTGCCACTGCATAACTAGCATAAGCTGAAGTCTAGAACAAAACATTCATGACAATAAAATTTGAAAATCAGAAGGTTAATAAACTAACCACATTAGAGTCGATACTTACAAGTCCAGCAGACCATTTGACCGACTCGAATGCCTTCCTCTCGAGGACAGTACTAACACGAAAAGGTCAAGATTAAGACACTAATAATTAATTAAAGTATGATGACGATTAACGATTTTTTTGGTAGCCAAATATGACTGATTGGACAAAAAAAGATTTTGTGTAAGGATACATCTCGGTTGCACTAACGAGCATGCGGAACATGGCAATCATAGCCACTGCCTCAATTTGATCTTTTTCCTTCACACAAAATTCCTCATTATCAAAATCAAAATTTGCTCAACAAACGTGAAAGGGAAGAGCTAAGAAACAAAACGAATAAGTGTATGGTATTTTCACGTCTTAACTAACTGACATACCTCACCAACATTGCTTATCGCGTAAAAGAAGGAGCCTGCGATTACAAGACAATCACCCAAAACAGGATTCGAATCACCTGATCAAACAAAACAAGCATTTTAAAATACACTTAATTTGATGGAAAATCGGAACTTTATATATATAATTTCACTTTGATAAAAGGATCGAAAAAGGTCACCTTCAACGGCCACTTCGGCATTAGAAAGGAGGACTAGGCCGAGGCCGGCCACACAAACAGCCGAACCCACAAACTGACGAACCGAGTATTTCGTGCCCAAGAAAATCCATGTGAGCATGACTGCCCATGCTATTGTCCAACAATTCAGGATTGTCACACTTGTAATTGATGTAAATTGGAATGATTTGTTAACTGTTATGAACAAAATGTTAAAAAATATTAAAAAAAAACCACTATGTATGAAATTTAAGTTTATATTCATATTCTATCTTTTATTTCGTTTGAATGATTGACACGTTAAAATCGACATCTTTTATTTCAAAAAAAAAGTTCATATTTCAAAATATGCCGACTTAAGAATGTCATATTTACCGAGGTATTTGTCGTGGATGTCAAAAAAATTCACATAACAATTTCGTACCGTAAATTCTTGATAAATTACTAAAAAAATTTCTTATCTTTTTCAGACAACTATTTTCACTAGTTTTACTGTACGTATGCATCTAACTTTTTTTTACCAACAATTTGCAACACCGGTGTATCAAAATGCTCCCATACACCACAACCAGGGACATGTAAGTTGAGAAGGACAGAGTAAGTGGTGAATCCACTGTAAAAAACAATAACAAAAACATGAACAACTGACATTAACACTTCAAACTTTAAAGAATTTCATGCAAGAAAAGAGAATTAATTTACCTTGAATGTCAACTAAAGAAGAGGTAAAAGTCATAAGTGCCAAGGTAAAAGAAATTAACTGTCCTAAGCCCAGCTCAAAAAATGTCCTGCTTAGCCCCTCATTCTTTGATCTCCACCAGCTGCTGCTCATTATCAAAATAATTTATTTATAAATGATATAATTTTTTTTTTTTTATTTTATTTTTTCTTAATTTTATGGAAGAATGGGAAAAATGAGGAAGCTCAAATAATGTATTATTACTATCCCTACTTAAATTTTCAATACTTCATAAATTTGGGAAGGGGAAAAATAATTCCATTTTGAGGACAGTTGAGCAGCATTTTTTTTACGGAATATATACACTTTGTTTACGTAACTATCCAGAAATTTGCACTTTACCTACAAAACTTTTTTTTTAACACTTTGTCTGCCAAATTTTGATTTTTTTGTACATTTTGCCATTTTTTTTTGTCACTGTCGGCCACACGTGGCGATAAGGCACCCCTTTCAACTGGAAAATGTAGCATCAATAATTAAGATGGTACCCATGGGCCATTTCCTATCAAAATTTTTAACATTTTAATTGGTCCCAATATATGTTGTAAAACATTTTGATATTTTTCAGTATTACACATTGCTTTTACTTTTAACATTTCAACGTTATGTAATTTATATTTGAAATAGTTGTTAATACTACTTTTTGGCATTTAATTTTGGAGTTTATATGGTACAAAAACACCAAAGTAATCAAACAGAAATGCTATGGAATCATCGGATGATTTTCTTATGAAGTTATCCGTAACTTTATTATTGACACGTGTCCAATTTGTATTTATTGCAAGACGTGTCGATACACCATTTGTAGATAATTATGGATGACTCCATAAGTCGAGTCATCCGATGACTCCATAGCAAACCCGATGTAATCAATCCTAATTCCTTAAGAAATTGGCAGGCATATCCAATCACACTAAATTTCACGATTTTCAAAGCAAAAGCATGTCACCAAGATTATCCTTACAAATAACAATATACTCCCTCCTATTTTTTTTAAATGTCATTCTAGCTTTATCAACTATTTGCTAAATAAATGTCGTTTTGGATCTTTTGTACATATTTTTCCATTATTACCCTCATTTAACTAATAAATACATCACGTCTTTTCATAATCACTATTCATCTTTTTCTCAAAACACTCATCTCTATCTTCATTAAATAAGGTTATTATTGACAAAAAAATATTCTTAATAGATGTACAACATCCCAAAACGACATCTATTTAAAATAGGAGGTAGTACATGAAAAGACTACAATTTCGTCACGTAATGGTTCCGTGAGAGATTTTAGCCTTTAATATGTATACAAGTCTATATATATATTGAAAGTCAACTTATTTACCAAAAATAGTAGCAAGAAAAGTCAACACACATTTAATGCATACCTTATTTGGAAACTTTTTACTATATGCATTAAATGCTTGCATGTTTACATTTATTATCCAGATATGTTCTTAAAGATTTTTTCCTTAAATAATTTATGCAATGATTTTGCTGATATCCATTATAATTAATATTTGTCGAGTAATATTTTTTAACTTTTATTTAATTATATAAAACTAATATTTTTTTAAAAAAAATAATATTATTTATCATTTAAAAGATAATGATCACATCATTAAATGATTTTATTGATGGTTAGATAATAAAATTATATTAGTTATTCTTTAAAAATTTTACTAAAATAAAAACCGGCTTAAGAAAAAAATCTCATAACATCCGATAAGTAAAAAAAAATGTATGTAAAATCTTTACTAAAATAATAAAAAGACTTTATTTATTTGTCTTATTCCATAATAACATCGATTTAGTCAAAACAAATCCCATAATCGGTGAAGTCAAAAAATGTACGTAAAGCCTATTTATACTAAAAAAGGCAAATTCAAAATTCTTTATCTAATTTATGTTTAAAGCATTTTATTTAATATTTATTTATATGAAATATTGGATAGGATTGCTGGATCTGAGTCAATTTTGAAATCGCTTTGTTTGGTATGAGAGGATTATCCGCATCCTATATATGCCTAAAGCATATTACTTTATATTATTTAATTATTTTATTTAATATTAAATTTTTTATCCATGATATCAGTTTTGTCAAAAAAAATTGAACAAACAAACAAAAATAAGAAACGAGATTAATTACCTTTCGACTTGTAAAAAATTTATGGGTGGACGTAAATATTTAACAATGCTGTTTCAAGTTCCTTAAATAATACTATAACTATGATGTTGAAATATAATTTGTTTTATGAGTGACGTAAATATGCTGTTTAAAGTTCCCTAAAATAATTTTTTTAAAAAAATTATGTTGTTTAAAGTTCCTTAAATATTAATATATTTAAAGTATACACATGATGTAATATATTAAAGTCAAAACAATGTTGGAAGGCTTTTGAATTATCTAAGTTAATTCATTTAAATATTTAATCCCATTAAATCTTCAATCCATGGAATATTTTACTAATCCCGTGAGCATGTTGTTTTGTTATTGTAATCAACTTATACACTATTTTACTAATAAATTATTTAATATCTATGTACAAGGAGGTCTTTAATAATATATAATTTTTTTGTCAGATACTATTTTATTGTATAATTTTCTTGCGTACTATAAAACTTTTATTGAATATTGCATCTTATAATATAATATTTCCTAAATAAATATATCCCGTGTCTCGCACTGGTCCCGTACTATATATCCCATATATTTTTTTATTCATTTATATAATTATAAGGTTGGATAAATAACCTTAAAATTGTGCACCCCGTGCATCGCACGGGCTCTGTACTAGTTAGTTATTATACATAGATATAATCTATGATCGAAATCTCTCACGAAATCATTTCGTGATGGGACTGTAGTCTTTTCCCAAAATACATAAGCTAATCTAATTATTTATGGATTACAACAAGAAATCCAATATGCAGACTGAAAAATAAAAACATAAAAATTCACTATTTATATCATGCACTTAGCATAAGCATTAATTTCTTAATGAATTAGTAAAAACAGAATCATTTCACAAGACTTGAATTTTCTTCCCCAATGAGGTGATGATATTCTTGATCAAAATTAGTATCCTCAATGGTTGGACTCCTCTCTGGGCCCTTCTCTCTGTTGTACACAATATCATCTCCATTAATATGATTGATACAATTTTAGGATATTTCCAAAATACACAGAGATTTTAGTGAAATGCAGGTAAAAAGCTCACGTTTTCGAGTATATGAAAATACCGGCCACGACGAGCAGAAAGGCCGGATAATATAACCAGTCAACCTGCACGTTTTCAAAGCCGGAAGAATTTGCGAAAAAAAATATCGTTAACCAAGGTACTTAAAAAAAGAAGCTCGATCGAAAGCAAATATAAATAATAATAATAAAAGGAAAGAAAGTCGCGCCCTGCCTTCTGCTTGTAGATGAATGTTCTAACTACAACTGCCCAAATGTCGGATGTTAGAAGGGAAAGATTGAACAGTGTGGCTCCGCTTATCTGTATAAAACATAATCCATCTTAAAGCATGATCGACTATAGAGGATGTTTTAAAGGAGATGGGTTCGATTTTGTAGTTCTTTTAATTTCCTTGAAATTTATTATTCGATGCATGATATGTATAATGAAAATTGAAAACTAGCCTTGAGAACGAAAGGAGCAAGCGTGTAGAACAGAAAGCTCGACAATGCGTAACCAGCGTATGCCGACACCTGAAAACCACAAAGGAAAACAAAGGAAAACAAAAAATAATGATAAAAAGGAAAATCACATTTTTAGAATCGAACAATGAGCGTTCTTTTTGCACGATTGAATTCTAAATTACGACAACTCTTAATTTGTTGCACCATTTTTTTTTTTTTTTTTTTTTTNTTTGTTCTACTTACAAGTCCAGCAGACCAATTAATCGACATCAGGGCCTTCCTCTCCAAGACAGGACTAAGAAGTAAATTAAAGAATTAAACAACATAAATTCTCGATTTCTTAAAAAAAAAAATGTAGAAAGCTTATGGATGATGTTTGTGAATATAGTTTGAAAAAGGATACATCTCGGATGCGCTAACGAGCATACCAAACAGACCAATCATCGCTATTACTTCAGTTAGATCTTTCTTCTTCGCGCAAAATTCCTGTATATATCGATCAAAAAGGAAGGAAATAATAAGGCAAAGCCATTCATAAAAACAAGAAACTTTTTAACTTCATAGCCTAACGAATAGATGTTATCTTATTATAAACCAACCTCACCAACATTGCTCATTGCAAACAATATCGTCCCTGTTATGACGAGAAAATCGCCCAACAGAGGATTCGAACCACCTGAAATGCGAGCCAACAAAGTTGGTTATTATAACATGCGATCTCCATAAATTAGTAACAACTCAAAACAAACAGAATATTAGTTATTTTAAAGGCTCATCAGAAGAAAAGATTTTATTTGTCTGAAAAAAAAAGGGTCGTTTGAATTTCACCTCCACCACCACTACCACCACCCGAATGGGCATCAGAAAGAAGAACGAGGCCAAGGCCCGCGATGCAAACTGCTGCACCGAAAAATTGCCAAGCGGAATATTTCGTGCCCAAGAAAATCCACGTGAGAATAATTGCCCAAGCTATAGTCCAACAATCCAGGATCGCCACACTTGTGATCGACGTGAATTGGAATGCTTTGTTCACTGCAGTAAAAAAAAAATGGTACAAAAAAAAAGTGAATATCAGCATCTTATCCAATTTTAATAATTACTGAATCAATTCACAGAGCATCAAAGGTAAGATTTACCGAAATAATTGCCGTGGACGTCAACAAGCGCAAGGAGAACATACCAATACCAAGAAACCTACATTTCGAGATTGTTTACAGCGTAAGTACATGAAATAATGTTATGGTTAGTCGTTTAAAAAATCGACAAGCAGTTCGAACGAATACCGGTGAAAAAAACATGTATTTTACCAACAATTTTTGGCGGCGGTACAACATAACACTCCCATACACCACAGCCAAGGACAAGTACGTTGAGAATGACAGTGTAAGAGGAGTATCCACTGTATAATCAGCCCAATTGAATCATGTTAGGTGAAAATAGACTCTAATTTGTTAGATACTTTTTTTTTTCAACATGTTTACATTTTTTTCATACTCAAACATTATACTTTAGAAAACAAAACATGATTTTTATAGTATAAGACCACAAAAAAAGTTGAAGGATATTGGACTACAAAACAAAGGAAAAGGCGAATGTCTCGTCACGGAACCATTCCGTCGTGGTTTTAAACGTTAGAATCGTCATGCAACCGTCAGGGATAATTTATAAAACGGTTACAAACCTCGACGGAATTGTTCCGTAACGGAGATTGATTTTTTATTACCTTCAATGGAGATTAAAGAAGCAGTAAATGACATAACTGCCAAGTCCAAAGAAATCAACTGCCCCAAACCCAGCTCCAAAATTATCTTCTTCATCACCTCTTTCTCTTTCCACCACAATCTGTTGTTGCTGCCGCTGGATTCACTTGAACATACGAAAATTCTGGACACTGTTGTATTCAGTGATAAAGTACAGTAGTTGGAATTCTAGTTTGGGAGTTGGGACAACAAATATGGAGATTTGGAGAGTGGCACATGTTTTCTGTGAACTAACAGTCAAAGCTTTTATTAAGTATTAGTTATTATGGGAAATATAAATATGCGATAAATATTAATACGGTACATTTTAAATACATTTCCTAAAAAATTTTAACTAAAAATTATCTTCGACTAGTAAACAATTTACAAAAATAAATTTAATGAAATTTATGTAAAAAATACCCGTTATAAACAATATTAAGTGTTGTTATCTTTTTTTTTTTTTTTTTTT